GACGGAGTAAGACCCCAACTCAAAAAAAAAAAAAAAAAAAAAAAAAGAATAAGAGAAAGATTTAATTTTGGATTCCAGATTATTTAATGTTAACATAAAAATTTAATGCTATCTATTTTTTGTTGTTTTGTCTTTTTTGTTTTTTTTTTTGAGTTGGAGTCTCACTCTATCACCCAGACTGGAGTGCAGTGTCCGGCCTGCCCGGGTAGTGATCCTTCCGCTCAGCCTTCCAAGTAGCTGGAACTACAGGTGCACACTACCACACACCTAGCTAATTTTTTTTTTTTTTTTTAATTTATTGTAGAGAGGGCAGCAAGCTCACAGCCATCCCAGTATCGACCTGCTGGATTCAGGTGATCCTTCCGCCTCAGCCTTCCAAGAAGCTGGAATTACAGGTGCACGTTACCATGCCCAGCTAACTTTTTATTTATTGTAGAGGTGATGTCTCACCAAGTTGTCCAGCTGGTCTCGAACCCGTGGACTCAGGCAATCCACTAGCCTCGCCCTCTCAAAGTACTAGGATTACAGGCTAAGCCACCAAGCCTGGCCTATTTAATGTTTTAAAACAGAACTGTAACCCTTTGCCCAATCCAAAGAAAAAATTTGAAGGACAGGAACTTTGAAGATATGATATAGTCATGGCAAGGCAAGGAAGAAAAAAGCTTATATTCATGATGAAAAAAACTTTCAAAGAAAATAATGGTATAATAAGCCTTACCCAGCTGGCCAGATTATCTCATGATGAAGGACACAGATCTGATGCATCTTTCTTCCACACTCTGTACATTCAACAAACCTGGAAATACAGAGCCAATTCCAAGATTAATCCCCAAAACTTAACCAAATGAAAACTTACAATATTTGTCATGTTTTCTGACGATTCAAAAGATAGACAAGGTCATGTCTAAAGACTAAAAGTTTTTAGCTTTAACAAAGTTTTTATTTTCTTAATAACTCATTAAGTGTATGGGGTAAAGCAAATTTCAAATGCAATTAAATTCAGTCATTAAATGTGGTAATTTTAAATCTGATTATGGAAAGGCAATATGAAGAGAAAGATCACTGGTGCTGAAAATTCCAAATGAGTTCTGGTATCATCCCATACATTTCAGGAACACCTAGAAAACATACATCACAATGCTTTGTGCTCCATGCTCCAAAAAGTCCTCATTACAAACTAGGGGATTATGAATTACGCACTGAGAATGCAGAGGGCAGTGGAGATGGACTACATAGTGTGTAAGAGGTAACTTGGTGCTTCACTTGGGCCTATATAACACCACAACTTTAAGCCAACTTAGTGAAATGCAACTAAGTACTAACTATAATGTAGACAACAGCCTTAATACTTCAGTGAGATTTAGCCCAAGAATATAGAACCATCTGATTGGTCATGCAAACCAAGAGAATGAAGAGGAGAAAAGTTACAGTGTACTGCATATTCAAGGGACCCTACTTACAGTTCAGGATCCAGTGTGTCATTTTTTCTCTTGGAAAACTGTTCTTTATTTATTGTACTAGGAGAGAAGAGGAACACAATGAGAAAGAGATAAAGATGAGCAATCTGACCACTATTCTAACCAAAGAGAACATTTTACACTATAAATGGATTTTTCTTTTTTTGAGTTGGAGTCTCATTCTGTTGCCCAGGCTGGAGTGCAGTGGCACACTCACCACCACCACCAGTCTCAACCTGCTGGGCTCAGGCGATCCTTCCACCTCAGCCTTCCAAGTAGCTGGAACTAAAGACATGCAACACCATGCCCGGCTAATTTTCTAATTTATTGTAGAGACAAGGTCTCACCAAGTTGCCCTGGCTGGTCTTGAATCCCTGGGCTCAGGCAATCCTCTCACTTCAGCCTCCCAAAGTGCTGGGATTACAGGTGTAAGCCACTGCACATGGCCTAAACAACTTATTAAAAATGGAGAACTCAGGAAGAACTAGAAATACCACTTCTTTCTTCTTTTCCTTTTTAAAATCTTGCTTACTACTCTTAGTGTTAGTTTTATCTAAACCTTTTCATGGTTTAATATTCCTACACGGAGTTATTTCTAGAAGATGATGTGCATAGTGGGAAGTAAATCACTATTTAAAAATATTGTTTATCATCAAACAATTTTTTATATCAACAGAAAATTTCAACATTAAGAATACATGTTTCAGGGTAATTCTGAAGCATAAAAATCTTACATTTCCTATTTTAAAATCTGATATAGGTTCCCATCCTGAAATACTGACTAAGCAGTATACCACACTGCTTAGTCTTACTACTATATACAGAAGCTAAATTTTACGATTCTCACCTAGAATCAACTTTAGGGGGCCAAACTAGTGTCATTCTTCTTGCAAAAACGAAGACATCTCCACATTTAAAACTGTTTCCTATGCTAGTTATAGCCTAGAGCCTCATTCATCTCTGTTAATGGCATTTTCCTGAATGGCCTAAGATCTTGCTACTATAAGTACGATCTGAAGACCAGAAGCACCACCAGAAGGATCTGGGAACTTGTTAGAAAGGCAGAATTAAGACTTACTACAGACCTGTAGAATTGGGAGAGGGTTTATTTCTAAATGCTTCTAAGTCAGAGATGTAGTACCCTAAGGCTCAGAACACTTGGTAGGACATTCTAGATTTCCAATTTGGTAAGCCCCTTCTCCTTTCAGGGAAATCCATCCTAGAGCTGATCTCCCTGATTTAGCCAAGGGTCAGAGTATCTCGATGATCAAGGGTTCTCAGTACTTATTCTCTAAGACCAGCCCCTAGACCCTGCTATATTGTATTTCAATAGTAACTGAAAGGGAAAGCACAACTTTATAACCCAATTTTTAAAAATTAAAAGTTTTTCTTAAAAGCCTAATTTTCACTACTAACATGACAATTCCATATTTCTGTGCAATGTTCTGAAGAGATTAAGTAAACGTGAACCTGAAAGAATATTAAAATTACTCTAGGCTGGGCGTGGTGGCTCAAATTTGTAATCCCAGCACTTTGGGAGGCCAAGGTGAGGGGACTGCCTGAGCTACGGGTTTGAGGATAGCCTGGGCAACTTGGCAAGACGTCACCTCTACAGTAAAAAATTAGCTGGGCATTGTGGCACGCGCCTGTAGTTCTGGCTACTTGGAAGGCTGAGGCAGGATTGCTTGAACCCAGCAGGTTGATGACGCAGTAGCCGTGAGCGTGCCACTGAACTCCAGCCTGGGCGACGGAGTGAGACTCCAACTCAAAAACAAACAAAAAAATTATACTGAACAGTTCTTCCTTCTTAAAACAGTCCAAGTATGAATTAAAGTGTCCAATTAATCTCAGAGACTCCTACTACTATTAGGCAGCTTAGACAATACGTTTGAAATTTTTTCTTGGCCATTTATCAAACAACAAGAGCTTGTTGAACTGCAAAGCCTGACCAAGTCTCTTAGACTTCTACATGTTGTTAAATTCTATTCATGGTTATAGTAATATGAGTCTTCTGTTAATCTACAAGGGTGTTACCCTCAAACTCAAAATAGTTAATAATGAAGTTTTCTTGCTCCAACTGTCCAACTTTTAGAAGTGAAGCTGATTGTTTCCTTTATAGAAGAAATGATTTGTTTCTGTATCTATGATAACTGTCCACTGCTACCTTACTGGATCAGTGCTGCCTAATAGAGTTCTCCGCCATATAGTAGCCACTAGCCTCAGATGGCTACTGAAGACTCACTGTGAGTAGTGAAACTGAGCAACAATTTAAAATTTTACTTACTTTTAATAATTTGTATTTAAGTAGCCAGCTATGGCTAATGGCTACCACAGTGGACAGCACAGCTTAAGACCCCTTAGAAATAAGCCTGAGCACAATCACCTGGCAACACACTAGTAAGATAACACTTGTCAAAATAATGCAGTTTACTTACGTTTGAGGCTGGGAAGGGTCATCCCCCAATGAAACGCTCTCCCCTTGGATTTCATTGAAACACTTCTCACAGAAATGATACCTGTCGGCAAGAAGGCCATACTGGGGTGAACTGTTCCGTTCACACAACACAGCCCAAGCCAAGCAACGAAGCCACCAATCACAGCAGGCCAAGGAGGGGGACGGGAGCAGAGAGCAGGTCATCAACGGCGACAAGGACATTCAATGATGCAGATTTATGGGCCCCACAGTTTGGGTTTTGTTTTTTTGTTTTGTTTTGTTTTGTTTTTTGCAATCAAAGCCAAGTGCAGACAACGACAAGCATGAGGGAGAAAAAAAAAACACAAAACAAACGAAGAAATGAGGGATTGCAGGACAACAAAAAACATAAAAGCAAGACGGAACAACACAAAGCAGAAAGCCAAGGCAAAGCACAGATTAGCATTAAGTATCTCAAATGGGATCACAAGTAGCAAATGATCACAGCAAATAAAAACAAAGTTTCACTTACATAGACCTATATATACCCTTTTATTTCAGTAATTAATGCTATTTGATGTAAATAATCAAAAGGAGGAGAAAGGATGAATATACCAGGGAGAGAAAAATTGCTACTCTGACCATTACCTAAATACCTTCCTACTTAAAAAAAAAGGATACAGTAAGCAGGAAGGAATCATCTAGAAACAACTGTGGACTGAAAAAACACAAAGTATCTTTTCCATCCCAAGGAAGTCATATGTAAAAACATTGTTTTTCACTGAAAAGCCTGCACGAACAGTTAAATACTGATTATAGTTATCAAGTGACACATTTCAAAAGGCAGTGGTATGTGCAGGTATATGATTAAATGTTCCTTGGTGCAAAGATAAACATTTTAGATTGCTGTTAAAAATCCAAAAATAGTATAAATGCCAAGGTTGTAACATGAGAAGTTTCATGTCAGCTGTTTCTTGCTTTTTTTAAACAAAGTACTTATAAAAACTTGAGTCCCACTTTTCCTAGGTTTCAATGAGTAAAAAACTAGATTTTTACTCATTATAAAATCAAAGCATTGGGCCTACAAAGCATTAAGAGTGCACCTAACTTTTTGTAAATAAAACAAAAAGTTTAAGTGACTTTTCAAAGCCAGAAATTCATCTGTAGCACACAAGTTCAGCAAAAATCAACACCATGAGCTTGGTGTTTTTAAACAAACAAAAGGTATTAACTGCCCAGCCTTGTTATTACTGTATCAGAGCTCCAAATAAACACAAATGTAAGCTATATCGTAGGTTGATTACTGGAACAGGAGACAAACTGTGGTTAAGATAGATTAACAAATGCAATTTATGTTATTATAGCGATTGATTGGGCAGGGGAAACAAGGCAGAAGTGGTTTATTACAACCATACCATCCTCTGTTATATGCACGTCTTTATAGGGAAAATCCTGGTACAGAGCTATTTTAGAGGTTTCCCTCTCGATTTGCTTAATAAGAGGCAAAAGCAAATACTTAAAAAAAAAAAAAAAAAAATATATATATATATTTCAAGAACAACAACTTAGGGCTAGGCCACATACGAAAAGGAAACTTTTCCAAAAAGTTGCCTAATTAACTTTAGTTAAACATGCTCAGGTAATTTGAAAATCTCAGTTTTGCCTTAGGCTGTGGTGATCAATCAAAGCACAGAAGCAGCCAGGCACAGTGACTCACGCCTGTGATCCCAGCATGTTGGGAAGCTGAGGCAAAGGAATTGCCAGAGCCCAGGAGTTCAAGCCTGGAAAAATTGAGACCTCGTCGCTTTAATAAATCATAAAATTAGCCGGGCCTGGTGGCGAACGCCTGTAGTTCTTGGAAGGCTGAGGCAAAAGGATCGCCTGAACCCAGCCAGGCTGAGGCTGTGGTGGCCGTGAGTGTGCCACTACACCCCAGCCTGGGGGACAGAGTGAGATTCTGACTCAACAAAAAAATCCAAAGCACAGAAGAAAGAGAAGTGGGGCCTGAGATGTACTCCCATCTATGCCTACAACTTACAAAGTTGCTTTAACTTCCCAAGGCCTTAGATTCCTCCCCTTATAAAAAATAAAAACCCAGACAACTGATGCAAGGCTACTTTTTGTTTGAAAATTTTATAATTCTGCAAAGGCAGAAGGCAAAGAACAGAACTTGTGCTATACAGTTGTTTTCAAGCAAGTTACACATGAACCATGAATGTATGTGTGGTTCATTCGCATGCGCTCCCTAGACAAGTGGACAATGGACCACAGTCCACACATGGTCAGGCTTACCTGTTCTGGTAACTGTAATAGGTGGCATCGCGAGGGATTGTACATAACTGTTTGCCATAGCAACATAGTGTCTGTGGAGAGAACTCCAACTGCAAAAGAAACCATTTGTTAAAGAGCACAGAGGCCCTAAGGACAAGATAGAACAGTAACAATGGCAAGAAACAAAAGCCAGTGATGCCTTAGTTTTCATTTATGTTAATCATAATGGGATATTCCCCCAAAACTGTTCCCAGTTTACTACTACATTATTTTAAAACCCTGAGGTAGGCCTTCTATCACTTTACCAAAGAACCCAACAGGAGTAGCTGGGCATGGTGGTACACATTTACAGCCCCAGCAACTTGGGAAGCTGAGGCAGAACTGCTTGAACCCACTTTTGAGATCAGACTGAGCAACATACTAAGGGTACCAAGACCCCATCTTAAAAAACAACCCCCCAAGGATGATGATAACACTACCAACAGCAACTACCTCCCCCCTCCGCCCACACAGGACACATTTTCCTCCTTAATAATGTGAATTGGGCCGGGCTCAGTGGCTCAGCCTTTGGGAGGCTGAGGTGAGTGGATTGCCTGAGCCCGCGGGTTCGAGACCCGCCTGGGCAGGCAAGACCTCATCTCTACAATAAATCAAAAAATTAGCCGGGCATGGTAGCACGCGCCTGTAATTCCAGTTACTCAGAAGGCTGAGGTGGAAGGATCGCCGGAGCCCAGCAGGTCGAGGCTGCGGTGGCCGGGAGCGGCCAACTGCACTCCAGTCTGGGTAACAGAGTGAGACTCCAACTCAAAAAAAATAATAATAATAATATGAATTGGTATGTACAGGAAAGCCAGCAGAGTAGATGGTGAGCAATGCAATCCACAAGTGAACATGATAAAAGCTCCTACTCCAAGTGGGCTTACAGTCTAATGATTCAATATTTAATTGGTCAAGTTTTCCACATAATTTACATCTAAAATGTGAATGTGGGGCCAGGTGTGGTGGCTCATGCCTGTAAACTCAGCACTACGGGAGGTTGAGGCAGGAAGATCACTTGAGCCCATAAATGTGAGATCAATCTGGGCAACATAGTAAGACCATACGTCTATAAGTAAAAAGAAAAAAAGAAAAAAGAAAACGTGAAAGTGAAGAGCAAAAAATGTCTCTCTAGAAAACCCATTTCATATAAATAAGTATTACTAATGTGGAATGTACAAGTTAAGTCTAACCAATGTATTAAGAGAAAGGCCAGGTCAAAGCTAGAAGCAGAATATTCTCTTACCTCAGTCATCAATATTTTCTAGGTGTCCTAGAAAAGTGAAAGGCGGGTCAAAAAGTGATTTCTTACCTTTCTGCCACAGCAATATCCAAGGCTTTGCATGACTGGGTCAATTTCTTGTTCAAAGACCTCAGATAGCTTGGAGCAGTATTTGTATACCCGTGATGTTTTCCGGTTATATAACCAAGCATTGTTGAACATAAGCCAAATATCATCCACATATTGCCAAGGCTCCTGATACTGTCCAGTGTCTAGCTTCCTCTTGATGGTAGAAAGATCCATGGGGCTCTTCACAATATCAAAGTAATCCTAGAAGGACAAGTGCCACCAAACATTACCCAAGTCTCAGTGTATTTAGGGCAGCAGATGGAATATATTGCTATTATCATCAACTCTTCAAGTAATATGTAGTTTTTAACCTGTCTGTATTTCCAAAGCAGTGACTGCTGTCTTTAAATCATCTGTCTCAGAGAGCACAGAAACAGAGCTACTATAGACTTTCCAGAGAGCAGGCTGATGGTGTACCGAACCTACGTTACCACAGTATATGTTAGACCAGTGAAGTCAAAGATACTTATGTTCCATCTAGAAATCACAGAAAAATACAGGGAAAAAAATTCCTAAAAGATCCTGCCCTGGGAAACACTTGTCCAGTAACACGTTAAAATCCCCAAATGAAACCTGTCAGCAGCCTGGTGTATAAAGGAAACTTTAAAAACAAAGCTAAACTAGAGTCCATGGTTTTTGCCATGATCTACTGTTCTTCAAATGATACAAGCAAATAAACCATATAACCCAGCAATTCTACTTCTAAGTAAATACCAAAGAGAAATAAAAGCACACATCCACACGAAAACTTGTACACCAATGTACACAGCAGAGCTACTATTTTTTGAGTTGGAGTTTCACTCTGTCACCCGGGTTGGAGTGCAGTGGCATGCTGCTCACGGCACCGCAGCCTCAACCTGCTGGGCTCAGGTGATCCTTCCATCTCAGCCTTCCAAGTAGCTAGAACCACAGGCATGAGCCACCATGCCTGGCTAATTTTTTCATTTATTGTAGAGACAAGGTCTTGCCAAGTTGCCCAGGCTGGTCTTGAGCCCCTGGATCCAGACAATCCTCTCGCCTCTGCCTCCCAAAGTGCTGGGATTACAGGTGTGAGCCACCGTGCCCGGCTGCAGCGCTATCTTAATAGAAAAGCAGAAAAAACTCAAATGTCTATCAACTAATGTATGGGTCAAGAAAATGTACACTACTACTGCTGGGCCATAAAAAGGAATGAAGTACTACTGATTCACGCTACATGGATGAACCTTGGAAACATACTAAATGAAAGAAGCCAAAGAATCACATACTATATGCTTCTACTTAATGAAATATCTAGAATAGACAAATTCAGAGACAGAAGATTAGATTGGTGACTGCCTAGGGATAGGGTGCTATGGGAGGAAATGGTGAGTGACTGTTAATGGCATGGGCTTTCTTTTTTGGTGTGATGAAAACAAATTAAAATTATGGTGCTGCACAACTCTGTGAATGTACTAACAATCACTGAAGTATATACTTGAAATGGGTGATTTGCACAGAATGCAAATTTCTCAATAAAACTGTTATCAAATTAAAGAATAAAACCCAAAATTCCACCACATACTTACAGGAATTCCTAGAAGTTGAGGGTCCACAGGTTGACGAAAGGGAAGGGACTCTGGATCCTGACGGTAAAGTGCCTCCAATGTTGGCATCAGTGCCTGTCTTAATTCTTCTGGCTTGAAAACTTTGAGAAGAGTACATTTGAAATTAGTCAGCAATTAAGCAAAAGAAAAAAAATTCAAACCAAAGTTCTAAAAGCATCTCAAGAATCATAAAACACAAAGTTAACTACACTGTCTGCACAGAAATATCACAACGGGCTGACTTCCTGATTCTAACTCATACTCTGCTTCATGCAGAGCCTAAAAACAGAATGTCTTGTTTTTATTTTTATTTTTGAGTTGGAGTCTCACTCTGTCACCCAGGCTGGAGGGCAGTGGTACGCTCCCAGCCACTGCAGCCTTGACCTGCTGGGCTCAGGTGATCCTTCCAACTCAGCCTTCTAAGTAGCTGGAACTATAGGCACGCACCACCATGCCTGGCTAATTTTTTGATTTATTGTAGAGATGAGGTCTCACCAAGTTGTCCAGGCTGGTCTCGAACCTGCGGGTTCACACAATCCTCTCATCTTGGCCTCCCAAAGTGCTGGGATTATAGGCATGAGCCACCGCACCCGGTCTTGTCATCTTTAAAAAAATCCATTGTGGCTCAGCTAATTTTTCAAGTAAGATAGACTTGGCCAAATAGAAACAATTCAAAGCCTTCTACAAAAATTTATAAACAGGCTTCCTCTAACAAAAGTTCAAATGATACTTGGTGTTAAGAGGGAGATGCTGTTAACCAAGAACTGAAAAAGTCCTTCTTCATGACATTAGTATTTAGTAAGTCAGGAATCAGACCGGGTATTATTGTCTTCTCACTACATAAAGGAATCAAAAGCACCCTTGTTAAAATGCTTGCTACTTCAGAGATGAGGAAGAGAATATTTTTGTGACAAATGGTGTAAGTAAAATAAAAAGAAAAAACTAAAATGGTATTGTTACAAAATGGACTTAGTTGGTCAAATTAAGTTCAAGTGTGTTCTTAGTAATGTTTCTTGAAAGTGAAGAAAGGTTTACTGGTATGGTACAAACAGAACAAATTTAAACTACTGTTCAAGAAGCTAGTGATTAAGAGAACAATTGCGAGCTTTAAGAGTCTGACAGGCTGCAGTGGGGTCAGCCTGAATCCAGCACTTTGGGAGGCTGAGGAGAGAGTAATCCTTGAACCCAGGGGTTCAAGACCAGCCTGTACAAAGTGGTGAAACCCTGACTTTACAATAAGTCAAAAAACTAGCGGGGCATGGTGGCACATGTCTATAGTTCCAGCTACTTGGAAGGCTTAGGCAGGAGAATCGCCTGAGCTCAGGAAGTTGAGGCTGCAGTGGCTGTGAGCGAGCCACTGCACACCAGCCTGGATGACAGAGTGAGACTCCAATTCAAAAAAATAAATAAAAATAGAAAAATAAAAACAACACTCTTGGCCGGGTTGAGGTGGAAGGTGAGGTGCAAGTATCACCTGAGCCCTGCAGGTCAAGGCTGCAGTGGCACATGATCATGCCAGTGCACTACAGTCTGACTCAACAACAACAACAACAATAAAGAAATCAAATTAGCCGGGCTCGGTGGCTCAGCCTGTAATCCCGTGCCTTTGGGAGGCTGAGGTGAGTGGATTGCCTGAGCCTGCGCGTTCGTGACCCGCCTGGGCAACTTGGCGAGACCTCATCTCTACAATAAATCAAAAATTAGCCGGGTGTGGTAGCACGCGCCTGTAGTTCCAGTTACTTGGAAGGCTGAGGCGGAAGGATCGCCGGAGCCCAGCAGGTCAAGGCTGCGGTGACCGGGAGCGGCCACTGCCCTCCAGTCTCAGCGACAGTGAGACTCCAACTCAAAAAAAAAAAAAAGACAAAAAAAAAAAAGAAATAAATCAAATTAATGGCAATTTCCAAGGCCTGATCCCAATTCTGGGTTTCTTTGCTACTTCCAGAAACAAAGAGTATGGACTTACTCTTTTTCTTTGACTGTCCTGGAGCTGGAGATGACTGGGTAGCTGAAGTACTTGGCTGGTCTTCCTCCTCTTTAATTTCAGTTTTTAACTCAGTACCTCTTTCTTCTGTTTCTGTAGGTTCCACTTTACAGTCTTCTGCTTTAGTCTAAAAGACAAGATAGGAATTTTTAGCACTCCAAAGATATCTAATTGGGAATCATTAAAGACATTATCATTACATTATTTACCCTTCCCTGTGGACATATCTGAGCACTCTTTCTCATGTGAAAATCTACTCCAAAAGAAATAACTAAAATGCTGTTGTTACAAAATGTGACAAATTAAATTCAAATGTGTTCTCTGTAATACTTCTTGAAAGTGAAGAAGCCGGGCTCGGTGGCTCAGCCTGTAATCCCGCGCCTTTGGGAGACTGAGGTGAGTGGATTACCTGAGGCCGCGGGTACGAGACCCGCCTGGGCAACTTGGCGAGACCTCATCTCTACAATAAAAATAAAAAATTAGCCAGGAGTGGTAGTGCACGCCTGTAGTTCCAGCTACTTGGAAGGCTGAGGCAGAAGGGTCGCCGGAGCCCAGCAGGTGGAGGCTGCAGTGGCCGGGAGCGGCCACTGCACTCCAGTCTGGATGACAGAGTGAGACGCCAACTCAAAAAAAAAAAAAGACAGCGAAGAAAGATTTGCTGGTATAGTACAAACAGAATTAATTTAAACCATTGGTCAAGAAATCTCTGTCTAATTCTCAGAATACTTTTCTGCAATATTTATTTTTTAAAAATTGAGTTCCTAGACTGAGGACCTTACCATTCATAGCAGTAAATGCCCTACTCTTACCTCTGAAATGTCCTCTGGCTGAGTATCTGCTGGTTCTGGCTGATCCACTTCCATTTTGGCCTCCATTTTCACATCCTGTGAAGGCTGCTTCTCAGGAATGGTCTGAGAATTCACTTCTGTGCTACTAGTAGATGGAGGATTTGATACCTGTCCTTCAATACTTATAGCTGGCTGGGAAAGCTAGGCAGAAAAAAGGGGAAAACACAAGAAGAGCAGGCCAATTACATAATCAGAATATGAACTACACAACAGGACAGCAAGATTAACTACCTACTCCCCGGCTTATTATCCACTAATGATGTTCTGCCCATTTTACTTTTTAATATTATGCTTAAGAACAGGAAATAGAGTATGCAAAAGTATTGGCTGGCATGTTGTACATAAACACCAGTAACTTTTTTTGGTAACTGCCAAAGTCTAGCAGGTGTGTGTGTGTGTGTGTGTTTGGGAAGGGGGTTAAAAGATGACTCTTTCAGAGGAGTTCACATTTATAAAGACAATAAGGATGACTAGCTTTTCTGGGTTGTTTTTATTTTCATTAGGGAAAAATTCAAATGTACAGAAGTCAGAATAAACATATAGAATTCACATGTAAAGTGGCTGTTTGAATCACTGCATTCTAATGGGATAACTGGCAATCCCTATCTTTTTCACAAGTTTTCTAATAAGAAAACACTTAATGACAAGTTAGTATTTTCTGAAAGTACCTTATAAAAAAATAAAATCAAGCAGACCCATAGGCTCCTTTCTGCACTTCTACCCTTCCTTGTCTATCAGAGGCCATGATGAATCGGTCAATAGTATTTTATAAAATGGCTGTAACCCATGGGATCTTAGTTCATCAGCCTGAGAACTACAATAGTAAAATCAACATAAAAGTGAAAAGGTCTAAGCCATAACAAATAATTCTATTAATAAGGATTCAATGATTAGATGAGATTTTGGGTTTTTGCTATATATACACGATCAGCCATTACAAGGAAACTACAAGTTGTCCTGGTCTGTAATTCTCATCTTAGATAAAATTCATGTGGTAAACTAAACAATATACTAATTGAGCAGAAGGATTCAGTCCCCTTGTCATGCCCCTTACATGACTTCATGCGTCAGAATACAACATGAAACACAGTGGTAAAGGCAGACTTAAAATCTTTGTGTTGCTACTATGGTAAGTACAAACACAGGAAGGGAAAACAGGAAAACAAAATTCCTAATGAAAAAGAGAGTCTATTCCATCTATGGAAACACAATAAGAGATGAAACAAGAGAAGAGAAATGGCACAAGTAACATATTACAGTGCAGTGGAAACGATTCTGCCCAAATTCAAAGTTCTGCTTACCGGAGTTGCAGGCTGTGGAGGCAGCAATGGTGCTGTTGGGGTAGAAACAGAGGCTGCTGCGCTCTGTTGTGAGCGAGGCTGCTGCTGGGGCTGATCAGCTGAAGGAGCAGCAGGAAGGGAAGGCTGCACTTGGAGGGGAAGTTGTGTTGGTGGCGGTGTGGGCGTCTGTCTTGAAGGGGGATGCAGAGCCTGAGACTGTGGCCCAGGTGGCATGGCAGGAGGTGTAGGAACAGGGGCTGGAATTGCTGTTGCTGGTGCCTGCTGAACCCCTATGCTTGGGGGAGTGTGGTGAGGAGTGGGGGTACGACTGGGTACAGGAGATGGTGAATTCTGATGCAGAGGTGGTTGAGGGAGAGGAGGACAGTGAATGTGGCTCCCTTGAGAGCCTGGAGGCATTATAGGAGAATTCACTGGACAGGAAGAACTGGACATTTGTGCCTGTTAAAATGAAAAACATAACAAGATGGCAATTCAAAATAGAATTAAAGAAATATTTATGTAGGCAAGTTACGCACATTTAGGATACAAACTGATTAAAAAGTAGAAATATCTATTTTAAAATGTGTAAAAAATCCTATTGGCGACATATCTTTGGATAACACAAACATTACTTAACGAAACTTAACTCAAGAGACTTAGTTAACTTTCTTAACTGACTAAACTAAACTTAACTAAATAGACTTCCAACCATGCAGCAGAATGGTCTCAGCCATTGCAGTAAATGGGAGAAGTGCACAGTGTTCTGGCCTTGCCTATGCTCTCTTCAGCTAGAATTCCTTCTTGTACATTGTAGTTCAAAGATTTTACTTTTAGCCAGGCTCGGTGGCTCAACCTGTAATCCCGCGCTTTGGGAGGCCGAGGTGAGTGAATTGCCTGAACCCAGGGGTTCGAGACCTCATCTCTACAATAAATCAAAAAAATTAGGCGGGCGTGGTAGCGCACGTCTGTAGTTCCAGCTACTTGGAAGACTGAGGTGGAAGGATCGCCAGAGCCCAGCAGGTGGAGGCTGCGGTAGCTGGGAGCATGCCACTGCACTCCAGTCTGGGCGACAGTGAGACTCCAACTCAAAAAAAAAAAAGAAAAAGTGTTCACTACTAAAAATAGTTGAAACCATCAATTTATTTGCTAATTTGTAAAAATTTACACCATTGCTATGTCACAGAATAATCTCGTGTTCTGAATACTCTAAGCCCAAAACTGTTCTTAAAAAAATTAATCTGTTTTTACCCACCATTTGTTGTTACTGTTCCCTATAAAAACATAGATCAAGAGATGTTTCAAGAATCAAAAAATAAGTAAAAAATCCACTTGTGAGACATACTTGGGATACTGGAGCTTGACCGCTGGACGGAGGCAAAGGCATATTTGTTACATTCATTCCTTGTGATGAGAACTGAGTCTGGGAAAGAAATTGGCTCTGGTTGGAAGGCTGCTGCATTCGAGGACCATAGCCCATAGGCTGCAAAAAACCACAAAGCATCATTAGTTATTCTACTACAACTGAAATCCTCAACTGCTCCAGGCCTGCAGGGGGATGGAGGGAGAAAGAATAAAGTGGTAGAAAAGCTGGCTCTGCCAAGACAACAGGGACTAGCCTCATAGTTTACCTAAGCCTACTAAGGAAGAACAAGTGGATAGGAACAAGCCTACATTCTCTCAGCACAAAAATATACCTAACACTCTGACAAGGAAAAAAGATGTTTCTTTACATACTCTTGTTAAGTGAGAAGAGTAACCACATTTTCATGAGTTCGTGGCAGTGGTATTGTAACAGCACAAACTCTGGATTCCATAATGGGTAAAAACAAGTGAAATCTTACAAGTTGTGGCAGAAACTGGTAGCATTCATGGTACACAAATGCTCCAGGATTGTCACATTTCGTTTATAAAATTACCCTGTACAAATTTAGGCATTAAAGAAAGGAGATCTGGAGTACTAAAGGTCAAAAACTTCATAAGCTAAGAAGAACATTTGTCTTATAGATTGAAATAAAGGTTAGGACTTCTTGTTAACCATGGCAGATATGTGAGTAGTAGTAACACTGAAGAACCCCCAGAAGGCTCAAGGGTCAGAAACACTAGTAACTCTAAAGGATGACTGGTAAAGAGTTTGAATAAATCAGGGCATGGTGGCTCACGCCTATAATTGCAGAACTTTGGGAGGCAGAGGTGAGAGAATTAGCTGAGCCCAGGGGATCCAGACCAGCCTAAGAAACATGGCGAGATCTTGTCACTACAATAATTAAAACAATTAGCTGGGCATTGTGGCATGCACCTGTAATCCCAGCTACTATGGAGGCTGAGGAGGAAGGATCTTCTGATCCCAGCAGGTTGAGGATGTGGTGGCTGTGAGTGTGCAGCTGGGCAACAGAGTGAGACTCAGATTCAATAAAAAGAGAGAGAGAGAGAGAGAGAGAGAGAGAAAGCAGCTTAATGAACCAGGAAAACTGTCTCTCCATCACCCTTGCAAAATAAAGACTTGTTTGCCTGGAGAAGGGAATACCAGGCAAATGGAAAGAGAGGTGCCTGCAGGCTTCAAAATATTGATACTCGACTGGGTGCTGTGGTTTATGCCTGCAATCCCAGCACTTTGGGAGGCTGAGGTGAGAGGATTGCCTGAGCCCAAGGATTCGAGACAGCCTGTGCCTGAGCCCAGGGGTTCGAGATCAGCCTAGGCAACTTAGCGAGACCTCACCTCTACAATAAATCAAGAAAAATTAGCTGGATGTGGGGACACATGCCTGTAGTTTCAGGTATGGAAGGTTGAGGTGGAAGGATTGCCAGAGCCCAGCAGGTCGAGGCTGCAGTGGCCGGGAGTGGGCCACTGCCCTCCAGCCTGGGTGACAGAGTGAGATTCCAACTCAAAAATAAAAAATAAAAAATAAAAAAAAAATTGAGACTCCAGTGATGAGGGGGACTGGCTATTTTTTAAAATCAACTTTCTAGTAGAGCTAAATACAAAAGAACCACAATATAAGAACAAGAGCTACGGTCTGTTTAAATAATTATCAGAATTTTTGTTTATGAAGTAGAGATAAACAGACCAAAAAAGACTTTAAAATATCAAGTAAAGACCAAAGAAATCAAACTAACCGGGTTGAGAGCTCCAGGCTGAGCCAACTGTCCATGGTGCTGAAGAGGGGAGGTTTGCCGGGGTCCAATAGGGGGCTGGGGCATACTAATCTGGCTGAATTGATTCAAACCTGTGAAAAGATGCAGAATATTAGAACTGAGCACCGTTGTGAAACTGGAGAATAAAAGACAGAGTTCTTACATCTGAATCTACATCATTTCATCAGGACTAATAAAGGAATCTATTTCAAACTTGTAACTAAAAAGAAATGATTCATTTATAGTAGCTGTAGACAGTAATCATTAACATGAACTCCAAACCAAATTTCGGAATCTGCAGTGGTTTTAATTTTTTAATTTAATTTAATTTTTTGAGTCAGGGTCTCATTCTGTTGCCCAGGCTGGAATGCAGTGGCAGAATTGTGGCTCACCTCAGTCTCAACCTCCAGGGCTCAGGCGATCCTCCCACTTTAATCTCCAGAGTAACTGCGACTACAGGTGTGTACCACCCAGCTAGTCTACTTTTTTTCCCCTCTTTTCTTTTTTGGGGTTAGAGACAAAGTCTTGCTATGTTGCCTATGCTGGTCTCGAACTCCTGGACTCAAGCAATCCTCCTTGGTTTCCAAATGTGGAGGGATTACAAGAATGAGTCACTGTGACTGGTCATCCAATTGATTTAAAATGGATGCTTGTCATCTGTTCTTGATCTGCCAGTCAACCTGCTCTTCACCCTCCCTTCCTTCCTTCCTGGGCTCCAACTCAAGAGGTTTCTGCTAATTCTGAAGCAGGTATTATGACATTTGCTGCTGCCCTCAAGCAAGAATCAGTGTGACAAGTATTATCTTGCAGTACACCAGTGACTCTTAAAATAATCATAAATTTATTTCACAATTTACCGGATTGTGGAGTTATCCGAGGCATCATCTGGTTTGGCACATTGCCACGGATCATGGTTGGGTCAGGCAGAGGACCGTCTAGAGTAAAAAAAGAGAAATGGTCAAAAAAAGTAGCTGGTACCAGCAGCCCTTTACAAACAAACCCACATACAAACCCCACAAAATAGCTTTAATAATTTCTTAAGGAATTCAGTGTGAATCTCAAAAGAATAAAGCTCTGAGCTAGACAGAAACCTGAAAAAAGAAAAAGTTATTTCTGGAATACAGGAAAATGCCCTCCAAATGGTTTTGGTAGTATTCCTTTTTAACTAGGGTGCTTTTAATGTTGACAGGAAAAATAATGCAAGTCTTATAAAAAAATGAAATTATTATAGCACTGAATATGATATTGTTGGCTACTAGGCTTAGTGGCTCATGCCTGTAATCCCAGCACTTTGAGAGGCTGAGGAGTTCTAGACCAGCCTGGGAAACATGCCAAGACCTCATCTCTACAAAAAATAAAAACATTAGCCAAGCATGGTTAATATCCCAGCTACTTCAAAGGCTAAGGTGGAAGGATTACCTGAGCCCAGCAGGTTAAGGCTGCAGCATTATGATACTGCACTCCAGCCTGGGCAAATGAGTGAGACTCTGACTCAAAAAAAAAGCTGGGAGTGGTAGCTCATGCCTGTAATCCTAGCACTTTGGGAGGCGGAGGCAAGACAGTAGTAGCTTGAGTCCAAGGTTCGAGACCAGCCTGGGCAATTTGGTGAGACCTCATCTCTACAGTAAGTCAAAAATTTAGCCAGGTTTGGTGGTACATGCCTGTAGGTCCAGCTACTTGGAAGGCTGAGGTAGAAGGATCACCTGAGCCCAGAAGGTTGAGACTGTGGTGGCTGTGAACGTGCCACTGCACTCTAGCATGGGCAACAGGTTGAGACTCCGACTCAGTAAATGAATAAATAAATAAAAATTGGCAGGTGTGGTGGCTCAAGTCTGCAATCCTAATACTTTGGGAGGCCGAGGTAAGAGAACTTCCTGGGCCTAGAGGTTCGACACCAGCCTGGGCAACCTGGTGAGATCCCCTTCTCTACAATAAATCAAAAAAATTAGCTGGGCATGATGGCACATGCCTGTAGTTCCAGTTACTTGGAAGGCTAAGGTGGAAGAATTGCCTGAACTCAGCAGGTTGAGGCTGCAGTGGCCGTGAGCGTGTCATTGCACTCCAGCCTGGGCAACAGAGTGAGACTCCAACACAGACAGACACAGACACACACACAATAAATGAACGAATAAATAAATAAAACCCAAAATAAATAAAAATCATATACTATTGTTTAACAAAGGTAGAGTTTAACGTTGGTGTGTAACAGAATACCTCCACAGATAATAGCAACACATTTTGCCAAGCAGTGACCAAATTTGATTGAATACCCCAAGAGCACGTTTGTATGCACAGAGACCCGCTGTGAACAATGATTTTAAATGTGTATTATGCAGTATTATATATCATGTACTGCTTACAAATAGAAATATTTTAAAATGAGATTAAAATATAAATTCTAATGTCTTCTTCCTGGACTACCTACACATCCTCTAGTGCAGCATTTCCAACATGATGCACAGAGAAAACATTTCTAAAGCATCCTGGGAAAAGACAGGATGCTTGTAGTGACCTGGCTCTACCCAGGCCATCTCCTCGCAAGGGCTGCCCACTAAAGCTTCAGGTATGCTAGTAGAAGACCCTCCTATAAGGTGATGGCCAAAGCTTCAGAAAAGACATAATTAACTTTTAGTAAAGGAGCAAAAGTAACACAGAAAGGGCTGAACATTTATTCATAGAAATTGTTGTAACAACTCTTCAAGATTTCTAAAAAGTACATGTATAATCCATGTTTACTATATAAAAATTAAGAAACAGGAATAATACAAAAATGAATCATGATCCAATGAATTACCCAAAAAAACTTTTCATCTTCCTCCTCACATATGTATATATTTAACATATACTTTATACAAAACAATATTTTCACCTAATATACAAGGAACATTTTCTTCCTTTCAACAATATGGATAGGTGTTTCAAGCTAAATGGCAGCGTGGGTCAAATCATTAATAACAGGTGAAACTGTCTTCGGTACCCAAAACACAAAAGACTGATGAGGACTGTAGAGCATTAGAAAAACAGCAGAAACTTCTAAAAGAGTCAGCCATTATTCCTGCTGTAGACAATGGTGTCCTTGGGACAGAATCAAATCTACTAGATATTTCTTTCTTTGATGAAGACAGAGTCTTGCTGTCGCTCAGGGTAGAGGGCACAATCATAGCTCATTGCAGCCTCGAACCTCCCACCTCAGCTTCTAAAGCAGCTAGGAATATAGGTATGCATCACCATGCCTGGCTGATTTTTCCTTTTTCTTTTTTTGGTAGAGACAATGTATCATTATGTTACTCAGGCTGGTCTCGAACTCTTGGCCTCAAGTGATCCTCCAACCTTGGCTTCCCAAAGTGCTGGGATTATAGATGTGAACCACTGTTCTTGGCCCCTTCCATTTCTAAAAATAAACCTGATTTCTAAATATTTGAGACTAGTAATATGAAAATCAAAATAAAAATGTAATTCTATTGCCCCCATTTGTTCAAGTAGTATTGTTTACAGCTATAACGTAGATGGTAGTTTTCACTGTCCTCATGGTATGAATGTATCATAGTATCTACTGCTGCTCTAGGAGGCAGGTCTTAACCTTTCATTACAAGGAAATTTCATGAACATTTGAAATAATACTTTGATAATATTTTTAAGATAAGTATTTACAGGTAAAGAAGACATATACAAACACACATGCACACACACACGTCCATCATTCACATTTAAATACTTCCTTAATGCATACTACATGCACAGATCAGTCAAAAATTCTCTAACACACAACACAAAAGTATCCAGAAATCCCACTGCTTCCATGAGAAACCAGTGTTAACAGGTTAGCACTTATTTCTTCCCAAACTTTTTCCTGGGCATATGCCATAATTTTTAAAAGTCAGATTATAATACATATATTTGTCTGTCATCATTAAAGTTAAAATGTTTGCAAAAAATTAAAAGGAAAAGAGTCACCAACTTCAACCCCAGTAACAATTGGGCTTATCTTTTTCAAAACGCACATATATATTACTTTACTCACTACGAGCATCTTTTTTAGGCCAATTCACAGACCTACCATAGTCACTTGATTATATAATAATTACTCTTTGGAAAAAAAAAAAAACGTTACAGAAATAAGAAGAGAAAGTTCAATGCTTCCATAATTCTTTATTTTACCCATGATTTATCATGGAGATATAAAATTAGATACAACTATATTCAAAATAAACTCAACATGTTCTGGATATTTAGCAATATAATACTGGAACATTATTAGGATGTTTCTAGTGTTTCAACAGTATAAATTATGCTAGGAATATTTCTGTGCAATCATAGCATTACTGTTTGTAATTAAATATCCAAAAATGGCCGGGCGTGGTGGCTCAGCCTGTAATCCTAGCACTTTGGAGCCCAAGGTGAGAGGACTGCCTGAGCCCAGGGGTTAGAGATTAGTCTGGGCAACTTGGTGAGATCTCATCTCTGCAATAAATCACAAAAACTAGCCGGGCGTGGTGGCATGCATCTGTAGTTCCAGCTACTTGGAAGGCTGAGGTGGAAGGATCGCCTAAACCCAGTAGGTCGAAGCTGTGGTGGCCGTGAGTGTGCCACTGCACTCCAGCCTGGGTGACAAGAGTGAGACTCCAACTCAAAAAAAAAAAACAAAAAACAAAAACAAAAAACAAACAACCCAGAAACATAATGAGTGGAATACTAGGGGAATAAACCAACATTTACATCCTCATCAAGGTCTTATTCCAGAGTCTAGATTCTCCCCTTTAGAGACTCTCAAATGGCATCGACTGATTTGATTACTTGTTCCTTCTATTCGTTTTCCAGAATTCTTCCCCTAAATTTCACCTCCTTCCCACTCAAATCATATGACCAGCCCAGCACCAGTGGCTCACAACTGTAATCCCAGCACTTTGGGAAGCTGAGCCCAGGAGTTTGACACCAGCTTGGGCAACATAGCAAGACCTCATATCTACAAAAAAAGTCAAGAAAAACTAGCCAGGCATGGTGGTATGTGCCTGTAGTCTCAGCTACTCAGGAGGTTTAGGTGGGAGGATCGCCTGAGCACAGTAGGTTGAGGCTGCAGTGAGCCATGGCTGTGTTGCTGCACTCCAGCCTAGGTAACAGAGTGAGACCCTAATGATTCAAAAAAAGAGATGACCAGATACCAGATACCTTTAATACTGAAAATACTGTTATGCTTATGGTACCTTCTGTTGTCATTTTTTCCTTAAAGATTCCAGTTAGCATCTAATTTAAAGGCCTTTCTTAACACATTTTATATTTTCAGTATTCTGGGTAGTACTTTCAATTTTTAAAAAAGTTTTAAAAATCTTTTATTCTTATATGATTAATTTCTGTGTATGGGGTAAGACAAGGATCTCATTCTATAAAATATCAGATTTAGTATGAAATAAAGGTCAGTACACACTTGTTCTATTCAGTTCCACTAATATTTATTCCTGCCTACATCAGTACTATACTTGTTTATACTGACATTAGACTGCAATTTAATATCTCACAGACTTCAGACTTGGCTCAAATTTCAACCACAAGTTGAATAAATTCTACCAAAACCAAGTGTCTTAAGTATGAACACTTGTCTTTATATGCTTAGTTACTACTCAAATTCAAAACATGTACTGAAGCAGTCTCTCCAATTCTACTTTTGACTTTCTCATTCCTGAACATCTGTTCTCCTTACTCAAAAGGTACTCAAAAGGTACTTGCTACTCTGCCTCCACTTATACTATTCCCTCTGCCAGAAATGTTGCTCTTCCCAACTCTTTACACATCTAGGTCCAATTAGAAAACAGTGTCTGGCATACTATGGTTAACAAGTGATGCTGCTAAAGGTCAGAGGCAACCAATGATTCTCGACTACTTTAAGGACTGAGGGAGATGAACTTCTTAGTCCACCTATAATCCACGAACGGTTACGATTAAGAGCTGCTACCTATTGGTTTACTTGGCACTTCCTCAAGGTAGTTAGCATTTCCTAACTCACCAAATCCAGGCTTTTTAACCAGCCTGTGTAAATCCACGACTGTGTGTCCACTCCATATTTCACTGCTTAGAACCTAGTAATAAACCAATGAATGAGTAAGGCATTGTATAATAGTCTTAGCTATCTGGTTAATTCATCAGTTTGAGAATGATGCTATAACCAGAAATGAAACTATCAAGATGTAATTTTAAAAATGATTCTAAAAAACAAATACACTGTGTCGAGAAGAAAGTGTGACAATGCAACATGATGATCATGTGTGGTTAGGAAATATATAATCTTCTATGAGGCCTCTGAAGCTAGTCAGCCTACCATCTATTGGTTCACTACTACATGCAAGTCAGTCTCAGAAAAACTAGTGAAAATCCGTGGGATATCATTTTCTAGGTGTCACTTTTAAAGAAGTCTATCTTTGGCTCTAAAAATAATGCCAGAGTATTAGAATATGTTAAGTATCATACCCAGCAATCTTAAACATACTGCTCAGCTACAGTTTTCACTACTGGATGAATTATTTTCTTTGCAAAGGCAAAAGCAATTCAAAAACCCTAGAAGAGTCATACAAGCTTACACAAATTAATGGATTCAGATAAAAAACATTTTATCAATGATCTCTCTAACACACATAACAAAAAGCACTTACTAGAAGTCATTCCTGGTTGTGGCTGTCCCATGTTAGGTCCTGGATTCATAGAAACGGGTACCATGCCAGCAGCATTTGGTAGCATGTTCTGTTTCTGTAATCTAGTCCTTCGTTTTTCTTCTAGTTCTTTTTGAATCTTATAGATCTTCTCAGCAAGAAGGTGGTAGTATTCCGCCTTTTTTAAGTAAAATAAGAGAAAGAAAAAAGAGGAAATGCTTACTGGGTAATAGGGAAAAAACCCAAAGAACAGGTATCAGTTTCATTTAACATGCTGCAATCTGAAGTAGTGCCAATTTAGAAAAGAAAGTTCAACTGATGAAGAGAAATTGAAATACTACTTGAGAACAAAATACTAAGTTGCTGCTTCATATTTTAGTGAAAACAGCACAGAGCTGGTAACAGCTCAGGTACTTTTTAGGCTGAGAGAAAAACAACCTAATAAATAAAGTGCCACATAAGTGCACTGTATGAAAAGGAAAACACAAAATTCTTGATGACATACAATTAAGGAATTGCCTTGTCGTCTTGACTGTGTTCAGAAAGAGTAAGATGGGATAGCTAACGGGTGTCCCCTTCTGAAGTATAGTATTGCTTGTATACATTACAGAAGAAGAGTACATTAAATAACCAGAACAAGTCCTTTCTTAATTATCATTAAAAAAATACAAAATAAAAAAAAGATGCTCACTCGATTATTTGCAGATTCATACATGTCTCCTTCTACTTTCCTAGCATATGCAACTAGATTTTCCATTCGTCTGTCTTTTAAAGCGGCAGGATCCGGAGTAGGAAATATGGCTTGAACCCTGGAAATAGAAAACCATATTACTGTAATATCATGCTAGTTTTTCATTCGTGCCATGGAAATATACAATATTTTAAACTTTTTCTTAATTAGTAATTTCCCATTTTTACACCACTGCACACAAAAAGAGGAAAAGAATAAAATAATGGGAGGATGAGAGGTGTTCAAATATAATGCTTAACCAAAATGAAATTGTCTTTCTGTGATAAGCAGTGGGTTTTGCTGATCACAATATAACAAATGATGACATCAAAATACTTTTTGGTCCCTGTCATTCTAAGCATAGAGCAAAACAATTATACTGTGCTATATACAGTGAGAAAAATGGACCTTTGTCATAGTACTAAGTAGTAAAAGTCTTCAGATCTTTTTACTTCCCTAAATTCAGGCAGGTTATCAAAATAAAATGTAACAAGCACTCCAAAATCTTTAAAAAAAAGTAACCACAGGCCGGGTGTGGTGGCTCAAGCCTATAATCCCAGCACTTTGGGAGGTTGAGGCCAAAGGACTGCCTGAGCCTGTGGATTCAAGACCAGCCTGGGCAACATGGCTCAAGACCTCGTCTCTACAATAAATCAAAAAAGTAGCTGGGCGTTTTGCACGTGCCTGTAGTTCCGGCTACTTGGAAGGCTGAGGTGGAAGGATCGCCCTGAGCCCAGCAGGTCGACGCTGTGGTGGCTGGGAGCGTGCCACTGCACTCCAGCCTGGGCGACAGAATGAGACTCTGACTCAAATAAATAAATAAATAACACAGTAAAAGTAGGCTGGGCACAGTAGTTAATTCCTATAATCCCAGCATTTTGGGAGGCTGAGGTGGGATTAATTACAGGTGGATGCCATGATACATGGCTAAATTTTTTGTGAAGAGGTCTCACTGTGTTGCCTGTGCCAAACTCCCAGGCTCAAGCAATCTTCCAACCTTGGCCTGCCAAAATGCTGGGATTACAGGTGTGAACCACCACACTCAGTCCCAAACAACAAACTTAAAGGGAGGGAGCAAAAGTATTATTTCATAATGATTTTGCTGGATTCCGTTTTTTACTCTCTCACAATTCCTTAAACAAAACGGCACTAGTTATTTTTACTGAAGATCGGATACAAATGTGATCTTTAGGCACTGACTTTATTATTTGGACATTCCATGCTCAGCTGCATAATGCAAAAAGGAACTAGACTGAGAACATAAAAATAAAAGTTTAGAGGAATATTTGTGTTGGTAGAAAACTCACAAGCATATAATAAACTTTTAATGTAAAGTCAGATGACCTACCCCAAGTAATGTTTCATCTAATGTCTGTTAATTAAAAGTCTAAACAGGCTGGGTGAGGTGGCTCACACCTATAATCTGAGCATATTGGAAGGCCGAGGTGAGAGGATTGCCTGAGCCCACAGGTTCGAGACCAGCCAGGGCAACTTGGTGAGATCTCATCTCTATAATAAATCAAAAAATTTGTCAGGCATGGTGGCGTGTGCCTGTAGTTCCAGCTACTTGGAAGGCTGAAGTGGAAGGATCACCTGAGCCCAGCAGGTGCGGTGGCCATGAGCATGTCACTGCACTCCAGCCTGGGTGACAGAGTAAGATTCCAACTCAAAAAAAAAAAAAAAAAAAGCCTAAACACGTAATAGTTTGACTATTGCTTATTAATTTATTTCATCAATATGGTGGAGTTTTTGAATGTCATGCTGTATTGTAAAAAGAAAAAAAAAAAATAAATAAATCGTGGACTTCTTTCCTTCTCAAGTTCCAATATTCAATGCTACCACTTATGAATTCCTAAAGGAATCATGAACATAACTGGCAGTCTAACGTAACATAAAAGTAAATTTAGCCGGGCTTGGTGGCTCAGCCTGTAATCCTGCACCTTTGGGAGGCTGAGGTGAGTGGATTGCCTGAGCCCGCGGGTTCGAGACCCGCCTGGGCAGCGAGACCTCATCTCTACAATAAATCAAAAAATCAGCTGGGTGTGGCAGCACATGCCTTTAATTCCAGCTACTTGGAAGGCTGAGGCACAAGGATTGCTGGAGCCCAGCAGGTCGAGGCTGCGGTGGCCGGGAGTGGCCACTGCACTCCAGTCTGGGTGACAGAGACAGACTCCAACTCAAAAAAAAAAAAAGTAAATTTAAACAACATGATAAATCACATTGTTTCCAAGTCAATAAAAAAAAAGGATAGAGCCGGGCTCGGTGGCTCAGCCTGTAATCCCACGTCTTTGGGAGGCTGAGGTGAGTGGATTGCCTGAGCCCGTGGGTTCGAGACCCGCCTGGGCAGCAAGACCTCACCTCTACAATAAATCGAAAAATCAGCTGGGCGTGGTAACGCATGCCTGTAATTCCGGCTACTCAGAAGGCTGAGGCGGAAGGATTGCAAGAGCCCAGCAGGTCGAGGCTGTGGTGGCCGGGAGCGGCCACTGCACTCCAGTCTGGGCGACACAGTGAGACTCCAACTCAAAAAAAAAAAAAAAAAAAAAAGATAGAATAAAGGAGACTCTGCTTTTAAGTGGAGTTGAAAAAACTGCATCCTACAAGAAAAAATGCTCCAATGTGTTTGAAGGGAAGACGGTGTAATCAGTAAGGTCCAAGCTCTACCTATATGATACTTATTACATTACACTTCACCACTCTATATGCCAGGCCCCAATTTATCTGACAACAACTATTTAGATTAAATAAGATGGAGTTTAAAGGGTGACCCCCTATGAAGTACAGTGTGATAGGGAATACCAGACACACATCAATTTATCAACAAATAGTGCAGAAGGTATTTCATAAACTGCTATGCATACATTTGGAGGACCAGAATGCCAGAGAAAGACTATCTTACCAGATTCAACTGTTAAAAGCTTTACCAGGAATAGGATGTTATCACTGCCACATTTTAATGAGCTGAGGCCTAGTTTTTCTTATAAGAGTTTTGCAAAAGCAGTGACCCTAAAATAAACAACTTTTAATGGATTTATTAATTACTGACACCAGGTAGAATAGTTTCCTTACTGTTTAAGCTGAAAGACTACTACCAATGATGAAGAAAGAGTGAAAAGCAAAGGCAGAATATAAGAAGCAAGAATGGATATGTGCAGTAGCTCATGCCTGTAATCCCAGCACTTTGGGAGGCCGAGGTGAGAGGACTGCCTGAGCCAAGGGGTTCGAGACCAGCCTGGACAACTTGGCGGGACCTTGTCTCTACAAGAAACTAAAAAATTAGCTGAGCTCGGTGGCTCAGTCTGTAATTCCACGCCTTTGGGAGGCTGAGGTGAGTGGATTGCCTGAGTCCACAGGTTCAAGACCCGCCTAGGCAACTTGGCAAGACCTCATCTCTATAATAAATCAAAAATTAGCCGGGCTTGGTAGCGCGTGCCTGTAGTTCCAGCTACTTGGAAGGTTGAGGCAGAAGGATCGCCGGACCTCAGCAGGTCGAGGCTGCAGTGGCTGGGAGCAGCCAATGCACTCCAGTCTGGGCGACAGAGTGAGACCCCAACTCAAAAAAATAAAATAAATAAATAAAATAAACAAACAAACAAATAAATAATTAGTTGGGTGTGGTGGCACATGCCTGTAGTTCCAGTAACTTGGAAGGTTGAGGTGGAAGGATATCATGAGCCCAACAGGCCGAGGCTGTGGTGGTCGTGAGCATGCCACTGCACTTAGCCTGGGCAGCAGAATGAAACTCAGACTCAAAAACAAGCAAGAATGCCACAAGACCAGAAATATCAACATTAACAGCCAGGCCACAGAAAAATCGGTAATATTCCTCTGTTGGTTCAATTCCTCGCAGACTGGCAGCATGCTGACATGATATCTACTTATGTACGTGACATGTCCAAAACCATACTTACAGTTTGTGAACAAGATGATTTCGAAGATCCTGAGTAATATCTTCATGCCATTGTTTCCGAATTCCAGTACTGGAGGGCTGAGATGCTGACGGCATAGGACCCAGGGCGGCCACACTGGTGTTTTCACTCATCATTGGGCTTGAAAAGGGGCCATCAGACAAACAGTTTTAGTGAAGAAAGGTAAGGGGAAGAGCTAATGTAATCAGAGTTGACAGTAATTACTGCAGTAGATCTGATACCCTATATAAGTCTATGTGCATTGAGGAGGCTTGAGCGAAGGCAAGATGTGACCAATTTCTTTTAAAGTACGTTTGCTGTACCTATGTCAGGAAACACATTTCTCTGTGTGGACGGGAGGATGAAGTCTTACGTTTAGAAAGTCTTGTGTTATCATATTAAGCTGTCACTGTGACACAGCTTATATCAGAGAACCTCTTGGGTAATGGACTAATTCTTCACAATGAGCAAACACATTTTTTATGCAGCTGTAACCTTGCAATTTCCGACTGTATTAGAGGAGGTGCAGATTACCCCAGATAAATGATAAAATTTCAAATAAGGCTGCAGAATGAAGAAAGAATGGACTCAAATATTCTTTGTGTCTATATCCATCAGATATCGTGAAATCAAGAAAACTGAATAAAAAATCCAAATAAGGAATTCTTATCAAAAGTGACCCAGAGCACAAACCAAGATAAAACTTACTTTTGAGAATTTATGGCTGAATGCAACATTGAGTCGGAAAGAAGATTTGGCGTCTGAACCCCTACACCTCCATTTACTCCCATAGGACTAGCACCTAAGTTAAAATAAAACAATAAAAGACAAATCAATAAAAAAGTCATCGTAAAATAAACATCATAATGTCAAGACCAAACAACATAACAGGAAAAAAAAAATATCAGCAGCACATAAAAGAAGTAATTGTTAGCAATATAATTAACAATATATACAAGGGGGACCCCCAAAAATTCAAAATTTCTTTTTGGGGTCAGGCATGGTGGCTTAAGTCAGTAATCCCAGCACTTTGGAAAGCCGAGAGGATTGCTGAGTCCAGAGGTTTGAGACCAGCCCGGGCAACTTGGTGAGACCTTGTCTCTACAATAAAACAGAAAAATTAGCTGGGCATGGTAGGGTGCCACTGTAGTTCTAGCTACTTGGAAAGTTGAGGCAGAAGGATTGCCTGAGCCCAGCATGTCAAGGCTGCGGTGGCTGTAAGTATGCCGCTGCACTCCAGTCTGGGCAACAGAGTGAGATTCCAACTCAAATGAAAACAAAATTTTTTTTTTCTTTAACCCAAGCATTGCTTCACATCCCTCTTTCCACAGATCACTGTACTTACTCTTCTGTGTCCTTACACAAAATATCTGCATGTATAGCTCAATTCCCTAAACAATTTTGGATCTAGGTTTTCCTTTGACCTTTTAACATCATTGTTTGTAAGTCTTTCTATACATACATATGTAACTGTGAGACATAAGTGAAAATTCTAGCCAGGCTTGGTGGCTCAGCCTGTAATCCCGCGCCTTTGGGAGGCTGAGGCGAGTGGAATGCCTGAGCCCGCGGGTTCGAGACCCGCCTGGGCAACGTG